AATTTTGATGGTCAGAAAGGGCTTGAGGTGCAGTGACATTTTAGAATGTCTGGGTTAGGGAAAGGGCTTATTTTGATGGAAACAGCAGGAAAGGAAAGTAGCAGTGTCTACAGTGCCTCAGCCATTTCAGTTTTCCTTAGGGGGGGGGCAATATAGGACTCATTCTTAGTAATGGAGGGAGCCAGCATTGAATGGGTGACATCCTGTCAGGCTTTCTGTGTATTTGTGTATACCTACATGCACTTGACACAACAGAGCATTGTTCCCTGACTATGCCTAGTCCATTCAGCAATCTGAGGAAAGTGATTCTGGTGGGTATTTCTCTCTCTCCTTACTGTATCTGTTTGGATTAAGAAAACTCATTCTTAGTAATGGAGGGAGCCAGCATTGAATGGGTGACATCCTGTCAGGCTTTCTGTGTATTTGTGTATACCTACATGCACTTGACACAACAGAGCATTGTTCCCTGACTATGCCTAGTCCATTCAGCAATCTGAGGAAAGTGATTCTGGTGGGTATTTCTCTCTCTCCTTACTGTATCTGTTTGGATTAAGAAAAGCTCTGCAATCCTTAAAAGATGTGTTCCCTAACAAAGTCCGGATCATGCATCAGTTGTTCATCTCACTGCACAAGCCAGGAACTGACTCCAGGGGCTTTTGGAAATCCCTACAAGGTGCTGTGTGCTTATTAGGTGTTTTTTTTTTCCTGTGGAATTATTTCTCTAATGAAATATAATGTTGAAGAGAGGCCAAAATGTGGCCATCCCCTATCTGCCTTCACATATGGTAGTCTCTTTCCAGCCAGTTAACCACTTCTGGGCTGGGAAAGAATTGTGACCACAGGGATTCTGTTTGTTCTTGGCTACATGTGTTTCGGTCCAGACCCTGGCTGAAGTGTACATAGTACAAGACAGATTGGAGGTGGCAGGCTGAGATGACCAACAGCTGCAGCTCAGGCTACTGCCTCTGCACTGGAGAGCTGCCTAATTTAGGCTGGATGTTAATGGCCTCAAGAGGTCACAAACTGAGCTAGCAATCAGTGCAGTTCAAGAATGCTCAGTCACACCCCCTTCCCTGCAGCCAAGTCCTCTTCCCTTTGCTGTGCTAGCAGCAGGAAATGATGCAAGAACCTATAGCTCACCAGAGGATCCTCATTACCGTGGAATAATTTTCCTTGGGCAGGATATCCTGACTTTTAAGATTGTGCTTGGATGGAACCTGCCCCAGCATGGGGTGAGAAGACCTGGAAAGATACTGCCTCCGGTCACTGTTTGGAGCTGATACAAGAATGCAGGACAGCAGAGGGAAGTAGTGGTGTCTGGAGATTAAAAAAAAAAAAGAAGTTGAATGAGGTGAAAGAAAGGAATGGGGCTGGCAACAGGCCACATGGCAGCTGGCTGGGCTCCTCCTT